AGGGCTGGTGGGACTCTGCTCAAAGAACTCCGCCACGCACGGGTCCACCGCCGAGAACACCCACTTCTGCTTCAGGAGGCGCCCGAAGAAAGCCTCCGTGTCGTGAAGGAGGACGCCGAGCTTGGAGGTCTCCGCCGCCGACGGCCCTCCCGCAGCCCTCGCCACCATAAGCTGCGGGATGCGATTGCTGAGGCTCTCGAAGTCTCGCCGCAGGTCTCGCGCCCAGCCAGCAGCCACAGCCCATGCGTCAGTCGCAGTGCCTCGATCAGGGGGGCGATGCCGCGGCGGCTGCCAGGCATACTTCTGCCAGCGCATGCGGAGAGGGCCTGCCCTGCCCGTCTGCGCCTGGCAGCCTTGGCCAACGAGGTCGTAACGGCCTCACAGCTCCTGCTCAATGCCTTGTAGCACGTCGTCCCAGCACTGGCTGAGCTCCGCATCGCTCGCCGCAGCTCCAATCTGCTCCTGGACCGCGTGCCAGAGCGACGCCGGTGGCCTGGAGCAGCCAGGTGGCGCCATCGCTGCAAAGGCCTTCGGTTCCCACGGCACTCTGCACCAGAGCGCCCTGTCACTAGCCAGGAGCGGTAGCTGCACAGGCTTGTGAGGGAAGGTGTCCGCTGCCTCGTAGACCTCGGGCACTTGGATGCGACTCAGAAGGCGGCCGTCCACCCCGAAGTAGTCCAGCATGGTGCCAGGCAACTTCTGACGGCATGTAGTCACCGCCGTTGACAGCAGAACCGCCCCCACAGAGTTGAACCGGGGGCCAGCAACTCCGGGGCCATATTGAAATCGCCTCCGGTGATCCAGGCGAATCCACGGCTAGCGATGTCCAGCACGTAGTGGCCCACCGTCCTCAAGATCTCCAGGTTGGAGACGTCCAGGCCGGTACTGTCATGCAGGTAGACAGAGACCATCACGATCCCACCTGACACGCCCCAGTGCACGTGCCCTGCCGTGGCCCTCCCTGGGATCAGGCAGCCAGTCGGGTGCAGCGGCGGCGTCGTAACCTGGATGCCCGCCTTGGCCAGCACCGCGCAGCCTCCATGGGTGCCGCCCCCAGCAGACGGAGGAGCAGCATCCCACACCCCGTGGTAGCCCAGGTTGCGGACCCGCTGTTGCAACGCCTCCACCTTGCCGAGGCCAGCATGGTGCTCCTGGACCAGCATGACGTTGCTGGTGAACGGGGACCCCAGCAGCGCCTCCAGCGCTCCGCAGGACGAGACGTTGGCGGAGGAGACGAGGCCCTTGACCACAGGTGCTGCTGCCTCCGCGGGAGGCCCAGGAGCCAAACCATCAGGATCGTGCACCGCGGGGCCAGGCGCATCCGTGTCACGCGTCGCGGCATCACGGTCCAGGGGCCCGCCGGGCGTCACGGCGTCACGGTCCGGGGGCCCGCCGTGACGCCGTGCCCACGTGCCTGGAGGCAACGCAGGGCTCGGCGCAGAAACAATATTGCCGCCCACGAGGTCGACGGCAGAGACCACATCCACAGCAGACATCATCATGATGACGAGGCCGATGGCAGGTCTACGCAGAGGCCTCCGCACCTGGCCCCTGAAGGCGCTGGCGCTTGGGAAGACTCTCGAGCCCCTCGGAGAAGCGCTTGGCCGTCTCGCGAAGATCGGCCTCGTCGGTCGGCACCTCCTGCCCCATTGCCCTGAGAAAGGCCTGAAGCACCTCAGGAGTGTCAGCCCCAACGCCAGAGGCCACAGGGATGCGAAGGACCCCAGCAGCAGGCGGCTGTACGGCCGCAGGCACCGCCACCGGCGGAGGGGTGCCTGGGGTCGCCGCTGGTGCAGGCGCACATGGCGCCATAGCTGCCTGCGCACGCTGCCGCTCCAGCTCCGCCTGCCGCTCAGCCTGCGCTCGCACCGCAGCCTCGCGCACGCGCCCAGCCACGCTGTGCAGCTCCTGGGCCAGCTGCGCGTCGGCCCCGAAGGTCCCAAGCACCTCGACCATCTGCGCCGCAGAAAGCCCGACACTCGGCAGCACGGAGTCGAGCGAGGCCTTGACGCCGTCAACGACAGTCGCAGGTTGCGGGAACTGCACCGCCACCTCCGCGCGCTGGGCCTCCAGCACCGCAATCTCCTTCTGGATGGAGGCGGCCTCCGACGCCACCTCGTCAAACTGCGCCTGAGCGGTGCGCACCTGGTCCTGGAGCTTGGCCATGGCCTCGCGCTTGGCATATGCCTTGCGCTCAAGCCCTTTGATCTGCTGCGTGAGCTGCTGGATCTGCACAGGAAGCGGCTTCTGGTCCATCTGCTTGGACCGCAGCTGCTCGAGCTCGGCCGCCCAGTCCTGGCGCATCTTCGCCACCTGGCCCGAGGAGTCGCTGGCACCCTCGAACTGGCTGAGCGAGCCACGCAGCTCCTTGACCGGGGACGACTCGACCTCGGCCTCCAGCTGCACGACGTCGACCTCCATGCCGAACGGGTCGGGCTTGGCAGCCGCTGCCTTCGCCTCCTTTGCCTCCGACCTGGCTTTGTCCCGCTCGGCTTGCGCCTGCTTGAGCTCCTGCTGGAGCTTGCGCACCTCGGCAGAAGTTGCCTGGTCCTTGGCGGAGACGGATGGCGCCTTGGGCGTCCGCTGGGAATGGAAGCACTGGCCCTTGGAGCGCTGGCACTTCTTGAAGGCCAGCAGGTCAGCGGCGTTCCACCAACGATCACCGGACGGCGCCCAGCAGAAGCGACAGTACCAGGGCTGCGCCCATGCCACCCGATGCTGGGTGTGCCCACTCGGGGGCTTCTTGGAAGCCATCCTGCCTGGCCGAGGCTGCTCGCGCCCAGGAGGACCCACCAGAGCGGCCTCGGTGATTGCACTTGCTCCTGCAGGAGCTCACAAGAAGCTGTGCTACGCGGGGCGGAGGAGGAGGAGGAGGAGGAGGAGGAGGAGGAGGAGGAGGAGGAGGAGGAGGAGGAGGAGGAGGAGGAGGAGGAGGAGCGAGCAGAGGCGGCGAGGAGGAGGAGGAGGAGAGGAGGGGAGGAGGAGGAGCAGAAAGGAGGAGGAGGAGGAGGAGGAGAGGAGGAGGAGAGGAGGAGAGGAGGAGGAGCAGAGGAGGGGCAAGGAAGGCAGAGGAGGCCGAGGAGCCCAAGAGAGGAGGAGTAGGAAGAGGAGGATGAGGAGGAGGGGAGGAGGGGAGGGAGGAGGAGGAGGAGGATGAGGAGGGGAGGGAGGATGAGGAGGAGGAGGAGGGGGGGGGGGAGGGTAAGGAAGGGGAGGAGGAGGAGGAGGGAGTTGGGAAGGAGGAGGGGGATGAGGAGGAAGAGGAGGAGGAGGAAGAGGGCGCGTTCGCGGCGCAGCCGGCGCGGCGTGCACTCCCACTCCTGCATTCCCCGTCCTCCCGCGCCGCCTCTGGCTCCTCCTCCTGGTCCTCCAGGGCGGGGGGGGAGGCATGGGGGAGACGAGGGCAAGGAGGAGGAGAAGGAGGAGGAGGAGGAGGTGTCGGAGGGCGAGGGAAGAGACCAGGTCGAGAGGAGGTCGACGACGTACGAGGAGGGATGATAATGATGCTGATGATGCTGCTGCTGATGATGATCATGATGATAGTGGTGATGATGATGACGATGATGATGATGATGGTGAGGATGGAGATGCTGCTGCTGGTGATGCTGATGATGGTGATGATGAGGCCGAGGAGGAGGATTATGCTGATGCTGGTGTTGGCGAGGACGGTGATGATGAGGACCACCACGACGAAAGGGGTGGTGGGGGTGTGTACGGCGAGAAGAGTGGGGCCAGGATTAGGATGAGGATGTTTGTGATGATGACAACGATGATGATGCTGTTGCTGATTATGATGATGATTATGTTGATTGTGATGATGATGATTAGGACGATGCCGATATTATGGGAGATGCTAATACTAATGATGATGACGATGATGATGTTGATGCTGCTGCTGCTGATGATGGTGATGTTGCTGCTGCTGATGATAATGATTTTGATGATGATGCTGCTGATGACGATGCCGATGATGTCGATGGTGCTGCTGATGCTGCTGCTGATGATGATGCTGATGTTGAGGATGAGTATGATGAATATGATGGAGGTGGTGATAGTGAATATGGTGCAAATGAGGAGGATGAGGAGTAATATAAGGAGGTGGAGGGGGGACGATAAGGGAAGAGGACGTGGACAGGGTGGATGAGGAGGAGGGCGATGAGGAACGCCCTCCTGCTCCTTTCAACTTCTACCTCCTTGTTGTTTCTCCTTCCGACGCCCTCCTTCCTCACTCCTCTTCGTTCTCTCCTTCTCTTCTTCCTTTTTCTCGTCCCGCCTCCTTCTCCTCCATTGTCCCCCTACCTCCCTGTCGCCTTCGCGTACTTTAGGGCCAGGTGAGTGTTGAGTATCTGCTCCCTCTCCTAGTTCTTCATGCGTTCTCCGTCCTCCCTTCGTCCTCCTTCGTCCTCCGTCACCTCTCCTCCTCCTCCTCCTTCTGCTCCTCCCCCTCTTCTTCTTCTTCTTCTTCTTCCTCCTCCTCCTCCTCCTCCTCCTCCTCCTCTCTCCTCCTCCTCCTCCTCCTCCTCCTCCTCCTCCTCCTCCTCCTCCTCCTCCTTCTCTCCTCCTCCCCCTGGTACTGTCTTGTTTCGTGTGCTTCTCTCGTGCGCGTCCCTCCCCCCTCTTCCTCCTCCCCTCCCCTCCTCCTCCTCCTCCTCCCCTCCTCCTCCTCCTCCTCCTCCTCCCCCTCCCCTCTATTCTTCTCCACTCCCTCCCTTCTGCTCCTCCCCCTCTCTTCTTCTTCCTCCTCCTCCATCCTCCCCTCCTCTCCTCCTCCTCTCGCCTCCTCCTCCTCTCCTCCTCCTCATCCTCCTCCTCGTCCTCCTCCTCCTCCTCCTCCTCCTCCCCCTCTTCCTCCTCCTCCTCCTCCTCCTCCTCCTCCTCCTCCTCCTCCTCTCTCGTGCTTCTGCTCCTCCTCCTCCTCTTTCCCTGCTTTCTCGATGGGGGGGGGCCGCCGAGAGAGTGCCGCTCCCGCCGCCTCCCGGGTGCCTGCCGGAGGCTCGCCGATGCCTACCCGCTGCTGCACCGCTTCCAGCGCATCAACCGAGGCCTCGGAGCTCCCCCCGCTTTTTTTTGGGCAACAGGTATATATTATATGTATATAGATATATAATATATATATATATATATATAATATATATATATTATAGTAATTTTTGTATATATATATATAATCTTATATTTATATTGTATCGATCTCTTTCTCTCTCTCTCTCTTTTCTGTTTCTCTCCCTCTCTCTCATGTTTGGTTGTCCTTTTTTCCCCCCCCCCTCTCTCTCTCTCTCTCTCTCTCTCTCTTTCTTTCCCCATATTTCTTGTTGCTCTCTCTTTCTCTCTCCTTCGTTCTTTGTTCTGGCTCGGGCATTCCCTCTCTCTCCCCCAGTCGGCCAAGACATGCCCCCCCCCTTCTTCAGGGGAGGAGCAGGACCAATCGAGGAGAGGAGGGGGACACGAAGGGGAGGGGGGCCCAGGGGGAATGGAGGAAAGAGGAATGGAGAGGGAAGGAGGGGAGGGTGGGTGGGGTGTGTGGTGGTGGGAGAAGTGGGGAGGGCAGGGTGGTGAGAGATGACGATGTTGCTGGCAGATGTGATGATTCTGATTATGCTGCTGCTGCTGCTGCTGAGGCTGATGATGACGATGATTCTGATGCTGATGATGTGATGATGATGATTAATGATGATGATGATGATGAATTATGAATGATGATGTTATGATGATGATGATGATGCTGATGATGATGATGATGATGATGTTGATGATGAATGATGATGATTGGTGATGATGTGGAGGCGATGCTGATGACGGAAAGTGCGTGTTCTACCGCTGCTGGCGGAAAACCGGGGGGGGTCACTACCGGTTCGAACCCCTCCCCCCCCCCCTCTGGAAAACCGGGGGGGGTCACTACCGGTTCGAACCCCTCCCCCCCCCCCCAGTTCATCATGAAAAGGGGGGGGGTCACTACCGGTTCGAACCCCCCCCCCCTCGAAAACCGAGTGGGGGTGCGGACAGTGGTGGGGACGGTGTTGGTGGGGACAGTGGTGAGGGGATAGCGGGACAGTGGGGGGGACAGTGGGACAGTGGGACAGTGGTGGGGACGGTAGTGGTGGGGACAGTGGTGGGGACAATGGTGGGAACAGGGGGGGGCAGTGGACAGTGGTGGTGACGGTGGTGGTGGGGACAGTGGTGTGGGGACAATGGGAATGAGGTGGAAACAGTGGGACAGTGGAGGGTACAATGGTGGTGGGGACAGTGGTGAAGGCGGTGGCGAGGACGGCGGTGGGACAATGGGACAGAGGTACCGTGGGGACAGTGGTGGGGACAGTGGGGACAGTGGTGGGAACAGTGGGACAGCTCAGTGGGACAGCGGAGGAGTCAGTGGGACGGTGGGGACAGTGGGGATAGGCAGTGGTTGGGTCCGTGGAGACAGTGGGGAGAGTGGAACCGTGGTGGGAACAGTGGTGGGAACAGTGGGGACAGTGCGACAGTGGTGGGGGCACCTGGTGGGGACAATAGGGACGGTGGTGGAACCAGTGGGGACAGTGGTGGTGAGGACAGTGGTGCTGGGAACAACAGTGGGGGATGTGATGCGAGCGGTGGTAGGGACCGGGAGTCGTTTGCTGGCGGTGCGTGGGGGTGGGGGGGGGGTCGAACCGGTAGTGACCCCCCTCCGGTTTTCGAGGGGGGGGGGGGGGGGTTTCAACCGTATGAACCCGTTCTGGTTTTCGGATCCGGATGGGGGGGGGGAAGGGTTCGAACCTCGTAGTGACCCCTCCTGGTTTTCGAGGGGGAGGGGGGGGGGGGGGGGAGGGTTAGGGGAGGGGGGGGTTTTGCGGGGGGGGGGGGGGTCCCCCCCCTCGAAAACCGAGGGGGGTCACTACCGGTTCGAACCCCCCCCCCTCCTCGAAAACCGAGTGGGGGTGCGGACAGTGGTGGGGACGGTGTTGGTGGGGACAGTGGCGAGGGGACAGCGGGACAGTGGTGGGGACAGTGGGACAGTGGGACAGTGGTGGGGACGGTAGTGGTGGGGACAGTGGTGGGGACAATGGTGGGAACGGGGGGGACAGTGGACAGTGGTGGGGACGGTGGTGGTGGGGAGATTGGTGTGGGGACAGTGGGAATGAGGTGGAAACAGTGGGACAGTGGAGGGTACAAAGGTGGTGGGGACAGTGGTGAAGGCGGTGGGGAGGACGGCGGTGGGACAATGGGACAGGGGTACAGTGGGGACAGCGGTGGGGACACTGGGGACAGTGGTGGGAACAGTGGGACAGCTCAGTGGGACAGCGGAGGAGTCAGTGGGACGGTGGGGACAGTGGTGATAGTCGGGCAGTGGTTGGGTCCGTGGAGACAGTGGGGAGAGTGGAACCGTGGTGGGAACAGTGGTGGGAACAGTGGGGACAGTGCGACAGTGGTGGGGGCACTGGTGGGGACAGTAGGGACGGTGGTGGAACCAGTGGGGACAGTGGTGGTGAGGACAGTGGTGCTGGGAACAACAGTGGGGGATGTGATGCGGACGGTGGTCCCGTGGACCGGGAGTCCCCCCCCCCCCACCCCCCAACACCGCCCCCCCCCCCCCCCCCCCCCCCCGCATCCCCCCCCCCCTCACCCCCCTTCCCACCCCCCCCCCCCGCCCCCCCCGTTTGTTGCGTGCGTGGGGGGTGGGGGGGTCGAACCGGTAGTGGCCCCCCCCCGGTTTTCGAAGGGGGGGGGGTCGAACCGGTAGTGACCCCCCCCGGTTGTCCCAGATCCGGAGGGTGGGGGGGGGAGGGGTTCGAACCGTTAGTGACCCCGCAGGGTTTCTCAGAATCAGGAGGGGGGGTGGGGAGGGGTTCGAACCAGTAGTGACCCCCTTCCGGTTTTCGGGGGGGGGGGTAGGGGAGGGGAGGGGTTTTGCCGGGGGAGGGGGGGGGGGTCCAGCAGGGAGGGGGGGATTTTCGGAGGGGGGGGGGGCGACCCCCGGGTTCTGGAGGAAAAGGCTGGTAATTTTCCACAGTAAAGCGGCGGTGGATCACGCTCTCTCTGATGACGATGATGATGATGATGATGCTGCCGCTGATGGTGAAGATGATGACAATTTCGATGATGATGCTGCTGATGAAAATGATGCTGATGAGGATGATGATGTTGCTGAAGATGGTTGCGACGCTTCTGATGATGATGATGATGATGATGAGACGTGTGATGATAACTGCGACGTTGAAGATAATGATGATGAACATGATGATGCTGATGCTGACTGATGAGGATGACCAGGATGATGCTGCTGATGATGATAATAATGATGATGGCGAGTCTGCTGATGGTGATTATGGTGAAAACGATGAGGATGATGATGCTGCTGTTGATGATGAGGATTATGGTGTGGATGGTGATGCTGATGTTGGTGATGATGATGATGATGATGATGGTGACGATGACGACGATGAGCGTACTGATGATGCATCTGGTGATGCTACTGCTGAGGCCAATGATGCTGATTATGATGATGATGATGATGATGATGATGATGACGATGATGATGCTGATGATGATGACGGCGATGCTGATGATTGCGATCATTCTGCTGCTGTTGATGGCGATGGTGACGGTGCTGCTGGTGATGATGAGTATGATGCTGTTGATGCTAAGGTCTATGCCGCCGAGACTGTTGATTATCATGCTGCTGCTACTGATGATGCTGTTGCTGATGGTGTTGATGATGATGCTAGTGATGAGGTCGATGTTGTTGGTGATGATGACGATGATGATGCTGTTGTTGACGATGAGGATGCTGATGCTGATGATGCTGCTGCACATGATGCTGCGATTGAGGACGGGGACGGGGATGGTGATGATGCTGAGGTTGTTGTTGATGACGATAATGCTGATGACGATGATGCGGATGGTGATGCTGCTGCTGATGATGATGACGATGCTGATGCGGATGCTGATGCTGCTGATGATGATGACGATGATGCTGATGCTGCTGATGATGACGATACTGCTGATGCTGCTGGTATCAGTGCTGATGATGCTGATGAGGATGATGATCTGATGCCGATGACGATGATGATGCTGATGATGCTGATGCTGATGAGGATGATGACGATGCTGATGCTGATGCGGATGAAGAAGATGGTGACTACGAAGACGATGCACAAGGTTACAAGCACGCATAATACGAGGACGCGGATGATGATGATGATGATGATGATGATGATGATGATGATGATGATGATGATGATGATGATGATGATGATGATGATGATGATGATGATAATGATCTGATGATGATGATGATGATGGTGGTGGTGATGATGATGATGATGATGATGATGATGATGATGATGATGATGATGATGATGATGATGATGATGATGATGATGAGGAGGAGGAGGAGGATGGAGGAGGAGAGGAGGAGGGGAGGAGGAGAGGATGCGAGGAGAGGAGGAGGAGGAGGATGAGGAGGAGAGGGAGGAGGAAGAAGGGGTGATGAGGTGGAGGAGGTTGAGGAGGCGTAGGAGGAGAGGGAGGATAAGGAGGAGGAGGATGAGAAACAGAATTGTGGTGATAGTGCCACAAGCAAAGCCTTAGAGCCAACACAGCACAATGAGAGTATTGGTGCTGGTGGTGGTACCGGCGACGACGACGATGGGTGGCGATGATGATTTGTACGGTGAGAAGAGTGAGGCTTGGACTAGGATGAGGGTGCTTGTGATAATGGCAGCGGCGATTTGGGGAGGAGGAGGAGGAGGATGAGGAGGAGGGGTAGGAGGAGGAGGATGACCAGTACGAGCCAGGAGGGGGAGGAGGAAGACAAGGCGGATGATGATGATGATGATGATGATGATGATGATGATGATGATGATGATGATGATGATGATGATGATGATGATGATGATGATGATGATGACGATACTACTACGATGATGATGCTGCTGATGATGAGGAGACGAGGAGGAGGGATGGAGGAGAGGAGTCTGAGGTTGTGTGGGGGGGGAGGGAAGGGGGGGGTTGAGGGGAAGGGGGGGGAGGGATGCGATGCTGATGATGATGATGAGGATGATGATGATGAAGATGATGAGGAGGAGGAGGAGGAGGAGGAGGAGGAGGAGGAGGCGGAGGAGGAGGAGGAGGAGGAGGAGAGGGGGGGGGAGGAGGACGACGGAGAGGAGGAGGGGGGTCGGGGTGGATGCCGTGCGCAAATTAGGTGAAAGGTCCTTCAAGCGAGCCCCTCATCCTTCCCAGCGCGGCTTGGGCCCTGCCGCGTACACCAGGTGCGCCCCGCCCCCCCCCTGCGCCTCCTCACCCCAGGTTTCTACCAGCTGGAGGGCCACGGCAGCTGCGAGGTGTCCCTCGCGCGGGGCCGAGCATCGTCCTCCCTCGTCCTTCTCCGCCTCCTCCTTCTTTTCCCCTTCCATCCTCCTCCTCCGCCTCCTCCTCCTCCTCCTCCTCCTCCTCCTCCTCCTCCTCCTCCCCCTCCTCGACTCAGGACCTCCTGGTCGGCATCTGCCTTGCAGGATGCACTCAGACTTGCGTCTCCTCCTCGTCCTCGTTCTCGTCCTGCTTGTCCTTGTGCTCGTCGTCGTCTTGCTCCCCCCTCTCCCCACCTCCACCCCTCCCTCCCAAACTACCCAGTTCTCATTCCTTCTCCTCCGTCTCCTCGTTCACCTCTTTCGCCTCATCCCTGCCCTCACCCTTGTCCACGTCCTCGTCCTCGTCCTCGTCCGCCACCTCCTCCTGCTCCTCCTCTTCTTCCTCCTCGTCCTCCTCCTCTTCGCCCTCGTCCTCCCACTTCTTCTCTTTCCTCCCTTCCTCCTGCAGGGGTAGGGGGCAGGGGCATGGGAGCAAGGTGGGTGGACGCAGGGGGGAGGAGACAGGCAAAGGAAGAGGAACACGAGGTGCGACGGATTACCTCGCACCTCGCTGGCAACAGCGATATCGGGTGGGATATTCGTGGTGCGGGACCGCGTCTGCGGATGCGCAAACAGAGACTGATCGCACTGCGGTTGAGGATGGTGCTGGTGATGCTGCTGTTGTTGATGATGCTGATGATGCTCATCGTGATGTTGATGCTGGTGATGGCCATGTTGTTGATGGTGATGACGGTGATGATGCTGCTGCTGATGACGATGATGATGCTGATGGTGCTGATACTGGTGATGGTGCCGATGCCGATGACGATGATGATGGCGACGACGGCGATGACGATGCGGATGGCGATGCGGATGCTGGTGATGCTGCCCGTGGTTATACGGATGCTGCTGCTGCTGATGATGCCGATGCTGATGCTGCTGAAGCTGATGCTGATGCTGATGATGATGCTGATGATAGGTATGACTGTGGTGATGATCATGATGCTAACGGTGATGATGTTGACAACTTTGATGATGCTGATGCTGCTGCTGATGCTGTGAAGATACTGCTGCTGAGGCTGATGATGATGCTGATGATGATGCTGATGATGATGATGCTGATGATGATGAGATGCTGATGCTGATGCTGCGGAGGCACGTGCTGATGATGCCGTTGACGATGACGATGGCGATGTCGATGATGACAAACTTGCGATGACGATGATGATTGCGATGCGGATGCTGGTGATGTCGATCGTGATGCTAGGCTGCTGCTGTTGATGCGGATGATGCTGATGCTGATGATGGTGATGCTGCTGCTGATGCTGTTGATGGGTCTGCCTATGCTGATGATGCTGATGCTGCTGCTGACGCTGCTGCTGCTGCTGCTGATGATGATGATGCAGATGGCGATGCTGATGCTGTTGATGATGATGCTGATAATGGCGATGATGCTGCTGATGATGATGCTGATACTGATGATACTGATGCTGATGATGATGATGATGATGATGCTGATGATGATGATGATGATGATGATGATGATGATACTGCTGCTGATGCTGATGATGATGCTGCTGCGGAGGCACGTGATGATGATCTAGCTGGAGAGGGGGTAAGGAGGGAATGGGGGTGGATGGGTGGGTGTGGGGGTGGGGGGTGGAAGTGGGTGGGCGTCGGGAGGACCAGGTAGGGGAGGGGAGCTGATGATGCCACGATTGATGACGATGATGCTGATGTCTGTGATGCTGATGATGCTGACGATGATTATGATGATGGCGCTGGTGACGATGTCTACTGTGATGCTGATCAGGAGGATGCGGATGAAGATGATAATGATGATGGTGATGCTGATGCTGATGATGATGATGATGATGTCTATCATGCTGATGATGATGATGATGATGATGATGATGATGATGATGATGATGATGATGATGATGATGAGCACGGTGACACTCATGATGATGAGGCTGACGATTATGATGATGCTGATGATGCTGCTGCTAGCGATGATGCTGTCGATGATGGTTATGCTGATGGCGTGCAGCTGATTGTGGCTGTGACAGTTGCGATGGCGAGGGTGATACGGCTGAGGCTGATGTTGATGCTGACGACGATGCTGATGATGTTTATGATGATGACGACGATGGTGACGATGATGCCGATGACGATGCTGATGATGCTGTTGCTGATGATGGCGATGATGTCGACGACGATGATGATTACGATGACGATGACGGCGCCGATGATGGTGATAAGGATGACGACGATGACGGTGATGCTGATGCTGATGATGCTGCTGCTGATGCTGATGAGGATGATGCCGAGGAAGAGGAGGAGGATTACGATGGTGATGGTGATGGTGATGGTGATGGTGATGGTGGTGATGGTGACGAGGATGATGAGACTGCTGCTACATATGATAATGATGATGCTGCTGCTGCTGATGATGTTCTGATGCCGCTGATGATGTGATAATGATGACAGTGAAGATTTTGTTGAGGATGACGAATTTGATGCTGATGCTGATGAGGATCCTGATGAGGATGCTGATGATGATGATGATGATGACGATGACGACGATGATGATGCCGATGGCGGTGATGATGCAACTTATGCTGATGATGCTGCTGATGATGGTAATGCTGATGGTGATGATTATAATGATGATGATGATGATGATGATGATGATGATGATGATGATGATGATGATGATGATGATGATTGTGCTGATGATGATGATGCTGCTGATGATGACGATGATGGTGGTGATGCTCATGATGATGATGACGACGATGATGACGATGAGGATGCTGCTGATGATGATGACGATGATTATGGTGCTGCTGATGATGACGATCTGATGGTGATGAGGATGCTGATGCTGATGATGATGCTGGTGATGATGATGACGATGATGATTATGATGATGATGATGATGATGATGATGATGATGATGAGGATGATGACCATGATGATGCTGGTGGTGATGACGATGCTGATGCTGCTGATGATGAGGGTGATGATGCTGATGATGATTATGCTGCTGCTGATGATGATGATGATGATGCCCATACTGCTGATTATGATGATGCTGATGATGGCGAGGAGGAGGAGGATGAGGACGAGGAGGAGGCGGAGGCGGAGGAGGAGGACGACGAGGAGGATACGGAGGAGGAGGAGGAGGAGGAGGAGGAGGAGGAGGAGGAGGAGGAGGAGGAGGAGGAGGAGGAGGAGGAGGAGGAGGAGGAGGAGAGGGAGGAGGAGGAGGAGGAGGAGGAGGAGGAGCAGGTAGGAGGGAGGATCTGAGGAGGTGGAGGAGGATGAGGAAGATAATGAAAAGCGTTACGAGAAGGACGGCGAGGGACGACGACCAGGAGGAGAGATGATGATGATGATGATGATGATGATGATGATGATGATGAGGAGGAGAAGGAGGATGCTGTGGAGGAGGGTGGGGAGGAGGATGATGAGGAGGAACAGGATCTTGAGGAGGAGGATGATGAGGACCGGGAGAGCGATACGAGCAGGACGGCGAGGACGGCAACGACCAGCAGGAAGAGGAGGAGGAGGAGGTGGAGGAGTAGGAGGAGGAGGAAGAGGATGAGGATGAGGAGGAGGAGGAGGAGGAGGAGGAGGAGGGGGAGAAGGGCCGTAGCCATTTTGGGTCAAGGCTAAACGTTGTGAAGGGCTATAGACGCCTGGGAACCAGCGATTAGCCTTGGGGGAATCCGTAGCCGCGGGCGGCTCAAAGCCCACGTTTCGCCCGCGAGGGCACAGTTCGTGCTTGAGCCAAGGCTATGAGTAATACGGGACGCACAGTGCTCAAGGGGCCGAAACTCCCCATTGGGGCTGTGGACGGTGCGGCAGATCTTCCAACTGGGCGTCGAGGATCCAGTGTGCGTATGGAGCTGCTGCGCCGAGAACGATTGTGGACAAGGCGAAGGCCGCAGACAAGACTGCCAACGGCGGCGGAGGAGGGCGGAACGACCCACCACCAGGGCTCTGGGCAGCGAAATTCGAGGCTCAAGCCAAGCAGATTGCAGCGCTCACTTCCAAGATCGACAAGATGGCCAAGTCAGGTCCTGGGGCAGCTCCACCAGTGTGGTCGGGCTCGAGTCGGGGACCAAAGTCTGATGCGAAGGACGAGGAGGCCGATAAGTGTCGGGAACGGATTGAGATGCTGTCACCGACGATTCAGAACATGGACGCGGAAAAGGACAAAGAGGTCATCTCGGGGCTGCACGCGAAGCTCAAAGAGTCACGGCAGCAGCTTCAGAAGCTCAAGCCGCAGCTCACCCAGCACACCAACGCGGGGCATGCGCTCGCAGAGTTGGAGCGCAAGCGGGCGGCGGCGGTCCAGAAGAAGAAAGAGCAGGAGGAGGCGAAGGCTGCAGCGATTCTGGAGATTGGCAAGCAGGAGGAGGCAATCACCAAGCTGGACGCGGAGATTGTGCAGGCCAGGCGGGCGCTGGCGAGCACCATCCCAGATGACGTGTTCTTCGATTGCGACGAGGCCGGGTTCGACGGAGACCAGGAGGTCAAGGACATGCTGGCGTCCGCGGCTTGGAAACGCTACCAGGACAAGGTCAAGGAGAAATGAGGGCCGCGGTTTCGGGTGGTTCCTCCAGATGCTACTGATTGCGGTGCTGCACGGCCAGCTGCTGCACACGGTGGCGGAACAGTAGAAGAACCGGATGACAAAGACGTGGAGGCTCTCTGGCAGGCATCACAGGGAGAAAAGCGGAACTTGCTGGAGCAGCTGCGCGCCATGGGCTACAAGCGGCCGAAACGCGGGTAGCCAGCAGGACAATGATGAGTTTCGTTTCTACTTTGTCAACATCACGAGTTACGGTGACAAGGCGAAGGATCAGATCAAGGAGTGGTCGATGACGCATGCATGACTCCACCAGGCAGAGACCCCTGCGCCGCAGCTGGTCGGTTTCGCGGAGCACCATTGCATGGGGCCGAAGACGACGGAGATGCGGAAAAGCGTACAGAAGCA